GGGATACTAAACCAACTACACTTTTATTCCCAAGGGTAAGTGTAAGTATACGTGGTTTAGCCTGCGAGCAAGCTCTCCGGGGTGCTCTGGCGGCGGGGTGGGAAAAGGGAGGAGAGCTTTGGAATTTGAATGCCTGCATCAAGAAAGTCTATGCGAAATGCTGATTGGCGGAGATGACATTAGTAATGACGTTATTACCCTCGGCACGTGTTTTTTAATGTTTGTTTACATTCGCACTCGTTTTCGCTTCGCGCTGATTGGCGGAAATCGGACAGCTCAATCGACGGGGAGCCACAGGGGAATTGAAGGTGGAGTTCAAATTCCAGAGACGTAGTTACAAGCTCTCTTCCTTTTCCCGCCCCGCCGCCAGAGCGCCCAGGAGAGCTTGCTTGCAGGCTATACGTGGTTTTAATGGGCAGGAATGGATAGACTGTTACGGAGACAGCATGGCCGAGTGGTTAGCGCGTCGGACTCCGGTGGTCCCGGGTTCGAGTCCCGCTCCAATCACTAGCTGGATTTATTACTTGTTCTTCCCAATTGCAAATCCTCCGTCAAGCTTATACAGTCAACTCTTGCCTTGCGGAAACCCCTCTATAACGGACACCCCAATAATACGGACAGCAGCTAAGTCCCAGCAAGAATACATTAGAGATGTTTGACTGGAATAAACTCCCGCTATTACTGACTCTCGATAATGAGGACACTAACTCAAGGTGTTTACAGTGTCCTCTATAAAGGGAGTTGACTATATTTGATTATTATGTGAGTGTTATGTGAGTGCCTGTAAGCTATCTGGTAATCTAAGAGCACTTCCACTATAAACAAACCTTTTCCTGACTGTCCGCCAAGCCGGGACAAGCGAAGTTGCCGTCAGTAAAAGTTCGACCGTATTCTATCCTGTCTTGTCACCGGAACAAATGATACTTAGCAAAGAACTCAATTGGTTATCAATTGTTCTCCAACAGGTTGTACTACAAAGACAAAGACATTCTTTGCCGTCGACCTATTGAACCGTTAACAGATGAAGAGAGGAACAATCATCTTTTTCCTGTGGTGGACATTTGCAGCTAACACTTGTTTACGCGTATATTAAATATATCTTCGGTATGCTTTCAATTGTCCTTGTAACCTCAGAACTGAGCTGAAAATAATTGGCGGTATCACCCCTCTTCGAAATTGGCAAAAGCTTAATCTTAAAAGAATTTAAAATTTTCTACTAAAAAATGTAAAATGAAACAAGAAGCTTACAAATAGCGCTTCGCTTAAAGTACTGCTCAAAAGCTTTTATTGCGTTTTTCCCACCGCGCGATTTTCTCCGTAGAGTGGAAAGTTCAACCGCCCTGTACAGCATAATTAACAGTGCCTCAGGAAATTCAATCGTTACAGTAGTCACATTTTAAAAACACACGCAGAGTTTTTATGTTCTATAACTAATTTATTTCGCGGAATCTGAAGATGCCTCAACACTAAAGGCGCTCAAAGGACGTCAAAACGTTCAGAATTTTTGTCATAAATTTATTTCAAATGATCTCTGTATATGTACAAACGAAAGTTTTAAAGAATTATTTCCATGGCAATTTAATTACTCTTAATAACACATGTACAGCTTTTTTCATTAATGACAATCTACCCTCGGTTTGAAATACGTATTATGGATACGGCAAATTTTAAGTGTAGTGCCTTGAATAAAAATAATCAGGGCGTACAGCAAGGCTGTCAATAAAAATACCTTAAAACTAAAGATTTACTTGTCTTTTCTTTGTACAATTGAAGCGTTTTCAGTTGATCTTTGAAGGTGATTTCCATTGCCTAATATTGCATTAAACTAAAACGTGCATTTGGGAATCCCCGTATTAAATGGAAGGTTTCACGGTTCAGCGCATGCTCATTAATCAAAATGCGTTTTTTCTCCCTAAACAAGCTGTATCGTCTATGCAAGCAATATGATCATGTGATAATGTTGTCAAAGAACCAATCTTTACACTTCCCTGGCAGTCACTTGATCAACTTATGCGCAAACAGCTGTAAATTCATTAACCATGGAATAAAACCTTCGGGTCAACAGTAAATTCAACGTTGGCAATGTTGGTTTTTTGTTCGATTTTAGTATACACCTCCATGCTACTTCAGGTCACTCTGAAATACACTTCTACTTTGAAATACACTCTGAGATCGCTGATACATGTGAGTGGGATTATTAAACGATAGAATTAATAATAAATTGGAAAAAAGCAATTTAATTGATGAGCATGCGCTGAACCGTGAACCTGTCCCTTTCAAGGTTTCTGGGAAGCTGCCTACCTACCCCTCCCCTAAGTTAACATTAACACTTACTTCTCAGTTGGGGCAAAATGTTGGGTTAGGGGAGGGGTAGGTGGGCAGTTTCCCAGGAACCTAAATCGATCCAACATTTCTCCTCACTTCTTCACTTCGAACCTTTATCAAGCAGTTGCCAGCGAGGCACCCGCGGTTGTTGGATTATTAAAAGTATTCAGGTTCCACTCCATTACGTCAGTTTTGTGAAAAAGATTGAAAAATGACTATCAGATGTCTTAATTGCTTTGGTTTACACTTCTACGCTATGTGACTAGCTGAAAAATCTGGCGCCACTTTCATCCAATCAAAAACTTCCTTTTGTTTCTCTGTAAATTTAAGTTAAACCTGTCCTTCGGCCTGAATTTACGGGCCGCGTTAAAAATGCTCTTTGGGTGGTGTTAAACAGCGTATTTTAATTAGATGAAAATGATAGATTCTGAACTAGGTTCGCCTTTTCAAACGCGTTTCCTGGTCCCCTTGACTTGATGCTATTTTTTGGTTGTGTATGGTTTCGTAGAATTGAATGAGATCGTACAAAAGCAAAAAAATGTATGGTATAAAAAATGCTAATATTTAAGATGAAACAAATACTAGACTAATATTTGCAGGTACGAAAGTGACCCTTTGCATGAGGCTTCTTACAAAATAACTGGGTGCAAAATCCTTTTTAGGACAAATTCCACTAACATAAATTTGTATTCCCCAAAAGGATAATGTGGTCTAGTACCCAAGCGTCCTATCTCAATGTGAGTGCAAAAGCCGTTTTAATAACCCTGCAATTAAGGCAAACGCATGGCTTAAGAATATGGGGGGAAATAACTTTGTAAAACTCTTAGCTTATAGGCGAGTCTTTGCTGACGTTATTGTTTACATTTTTCCTCATTAGCATACGACTTAACTCAAAGTATCCGTGGGCGTACATGCAAACTAAATGCAAAAGTTGAAAGAGCTGATTAAGTTGAGCAATTTGTGCAATTTTCAGCTCTTTGCAAGCAATATTGAAGGAAATATCAGTCATTAAAAACTGAGAAATTGCTGGGTGACAAAAAAGTTAATAATGAGCCATACATTCTCTATAAAATTTCAAGTTTTTAGAAGAGAATTTCTCCAAAACCATTCGGTGTATTGGGCTCAAATTTTCAGCTCTCAGTGGGAAAACTGCTGATCAGCATTGCTTCGAGGTTAACTTTGCCTAAATTTCATTTAGCCACATTTAAAAGTTTTGTGTGATCTTACTAATAAGGTCTATTTTCTTTATCTCAGATGCAAGCCCGCCAACGTTTCATACCAATTTTACAAACAGCCTGTTCACGAAAGTACCGGTCGA